GATCTCACTGCAGTCCCTGAATCATACTTGACTGTAGTACTTGATCACATCCAGTCTTCTGGGTTAAATAATATGTAATTAGGCTTGAATATTAGCCTTTCAAGAGTTGACAGGGAAATGAAATCGCATTAGACTTCTAACCCCTACAACTCTAGTACGGGACATCCGTCCTGTACGAACAGACACACAAATGTGTGATTACTAACTACTAACATCAAATTAATCTAATAATTCGAAGGAGGAGTATCGGTGTTCGTCTGTTCTAAATAGGACTTCGACCCGTGAGCAGCCCCCTGGGGAATTATGTCGGAAAATCCGACACCATTTAATATATCATACAGACAGATAATATTTGTTGCTGTATTACCAACAAGTTACCCATAGAAAACGTAACTTGTAGTGGAATTACCGTCTATAGAAAACGGGATATCATCACCACATACTATTATAATTCACCAGCTATTCTGCTGGGAATTGTTCTTAAATACATTAGTCTTTGGACTTTACCATCATAAAAACATCTTATATAATTAACTTAATTATCAATATTAAAGTAGAGTAAATGTGACCCTTCTATCACGTTCTGAAATCTGGACAATGTAAGCCAGGCGTCAGAGTGGAGGAAGGAGGGCAGCCATTGTTGTTATACGAGACCAGAGGCTCACACGGGAGCAAATTCGGCTCCTGTTAAATTTACTTGGACGTAGTGTTATGGAACCCAAAGGTGTACCATTGTCAACACGCTGTCTACAAATACAAGTTAAGTGTCTATCCGAAACCCGTTTATCATTCATTTATGGCCATTAATGTCAGGATATAGGGTTAGCCGGTTAGAACGCGAAATCGCCTCATACTAAAGGTAATTAAGCCAGGTCTTTAATGTTCCATGTACTGTATAGTGTTTTCTCTGATATAGCTTGTCATATATAGGATTCTGGCTTCACAGCTAGCGCACTTTTGACAGGTCAAGACGAGGATGCAAGATTGTGCACCAGTTACTGGGTGATATGGAAGCTACCTCAAAGAGGATAATTTGGTGTCTACACCCTAGTTATACCTGGTGGACTAACCTGCTGTACTATAAGAGAAGGAACCTCATCAATGTATGTAGCTATTACTGTAATTTGATTGGCTGCATATGTGTAATATAAACCCCCCCCTAATGTGTAGAGGATCGATTTGTGAGATTATGAGATTATTGCAGAAATACAGTCCACTTATCATTATACAAATTGCTATCGAAGTATATAAATTAACGTAAATATAAATTCATATAAATTAAATAAATATAAATCTCACAGGTCGGTTCCCACACCATAGCCCGTGCTACTTGCCCCCGCTCCTGTGCCAGGTAAGTCCACGACGGGCTCACCATAGCCCGTGCTACTTGCCCCGCTCCTGTGCCAGTCCACTACGGGCTCACCATAGCCCGTGCTACTTGCCCCGCTCCTGTGCCAGTCCACTACGGGCTCACCATAGCCTGTGCTACTTGCCCCGCTCCTGTGCCAGTCCACGACGGGCTCACCATAGCCCGTGCTACTTGCAACTGTTTGTTCCAAGTAGCTGAATCTAAAACAAGAACAACTTACGAGTAATAACTGACTGTGGCGTCCCCTGGTGGGCCATGGCACCTTGCTGTGGCGCAGCCTGGTCCCTGCCACTCGGTGCCAAATGGCACGCTCACCAGGCAGTGGTCCGGGTTGTCTGCAATGACAAACACCAAGCTGATGAGGTGAAGGAATGAGATAAAGGAAGAAGATGAGGTGCAGGAAGGATTGTAAGGAGTAATGCTTGAGGTGAAAGAATGTGAAGAATGTGAAGCATTATTAACACGATCGACTTGAGAATGGTCCAGGACGGACCGAAACGTCGTCGTCCCTTCACCTTCTAGTGTGTGGTCTGGTCAACATACTTCAGCCACGTTATTGTGACTCCTCGCCTGCATAATTAACACGAGTGTTGGCTGGCAAAAGCTGGACATTCCATATTCAAACATTCTTTCCTATCTCAGGAGTTTTCCCAAATTTATTCATTTTGATTTTTTGGGGGAATAATTAATATGTAATTCCTAAAACAACTTAGAGGAATTATTAGCTGCCTAAACAAACATATTTTAAGAGTACTTTCAAGCATTTTGTTCTCAACAAACACGCGAGATAATGTTTAAGATAATCGCCAAATCTGGGCACACACTTTCTAAATGGTTCGCCACTCCTGCTATATAGTACCTGGAGAACCTGCAGAAATGGTGTGAAAAATGGCTACTCGACTTCAACCCAAGTAAATGTAAAGATATTACAGTGGGGGGGGGGAAGGATCGGAACATGACAAGGCTCCTGAATTAGAAAAGGGAAATAATATTGTAAAAGACATTGTGTAAAACATGCAAGTAATGTTTATTTATTAATTTAATGTTTTTAATAATTAGGGTTGTTCCCCAACCCTAATTATATTAGGGTTGGGGAACCAAGCATGACTCACTTGGTTCCCTAAACTAGCAATAACAGGTGTGGGACACACTTGTCATTACTAGTTTAGGGTGAGAATTGGCCAGGTATACAAAATATCCTAGATTGAACCAAATCTCCTGACCAATCAGAGGCCTTTAGAAAGCTTGGCGAATTAGGGTACACCATCTGTGAGTGTGAGCCAATGAGAGGGGGGTGTCACCAGGGGTGTGGGAGTGGTAGTAGCCAATCAGGATAAGTATTGCCCACCTGAGGCTCGTCTGTGGAGGCTCCCAGGTGTCGTCACAGTTAAGTTTAACTTTAATTCATTGACAGGAAAAAATACTCATTGAACATTGAACAAAAATAGACCCCCACCCCCTCCCCCCTCCTCACAGCTCTCTCCCTCACTGGCAACATTTAAGAGTTCATCATTCTTGTGAGGTGATACGGGCTGGTTTTCTACGTTGTATAGGAATCAAACGAGAGGATGGCTAGACGATTCGGGGATGGTTAATGGAGTTTGGGGGATTGTTAGACTAGTTCCCCCACCATCGGGAACTGCCATCAATGGTTTTTGAGACACAGATGATGTAATAATGACTTACTTGGGTCTTGAGCATGCTCATGCCATACGTCAGCCATGACGAGGGAGAGGCAGGCGGCCAGCACCGCCACGCGTAAGAGATGACCCATGTCCTTCACCACCGAACTATCCTCTTAGCTCAAGATCACGTTCTTGACCTCAACTGTCTCAAGCTCTCCCTGGTAGTCGGGGGCAGGAACGGGTGACTCTCAGTAGCAGGGTTCCCTCTGACCTTGGTGCAGACAGCAGCTAGCTGACCTCAGCGCCGGCAAAGGATGCTAGCAAGAGTTAAGACGATCTTCTAATGCACATTCTTGCGCGTGCCAGGCTTATAAGAACGCCAGATTAAGATGACGTCAGAAAATGAAGAGATGCCAATTGGTTTTTTTATTTTCGTAGTTATTATCTCGCCAGGAAGTGGCGCCAGGCTCCACCAGCTGGCGCCGGGGCTGTGCCAGACACCACACCAGTCTGCTCCAACTATAGATTATAGATGAATGATTACAGTCTCCGTGGTGTAGTGGTAAGACACTCGCCTGGCGTTCCGCGAGCGCTATGTCATGGGTTCGTATCCTGGCCGGGGAGGATTTACTGGGCGCAATTCCTTAACTGTAGCCTCTGTTTAACGCAACAGTAAAATGTGTACTTGGATGAAAAAACGATTCTTCGCGGCAGGGGATCGTATTCCAGGGACCATAGGATTAAGGACTTGCCCGAAACGCTACGCGTACTAGTGGCTCTACAAGAATGTAACAACTCTTGTATATATCTCAAAAAAAAAATTTAGACGAAACAAAAAGATCGCTAAATGACTGGCACACTTCCGAACTGTGGAAATCTCATCTCTGTTATCAGTCCTGGAGACCATTTCTCGGAGCCAGCACTGGGACCACGTCTCTACCCCTGGTATCATACGCCTGGTATCATACAGCTCTCCTCCATACCAAACATGGTATGAGATCGCTAGAGGTGTTGACGGAGGGCCACGCAGCTGCGTGACCGGATGCACCCGCTGGTGAGACAGAGCTCACGAACGCCTCCCCGTCTTATCAGCCATTTGTCTTACTTTGCATTTGCTTGAGTTTAACTCTAGCAGCCACTTGTTGGATTTTTTTTTTCAGACTGTCCAGGTTATACTGCAGTCTTTTGCAGTCTTCGATTGTATATATTGGTCTCTTAATTTATATATTAATAAACAGTTAGCGGAAGGAGCCTCTTCTCGAAGGAAAATAAATCACATATACATGTCAGTTAAGATATGTCATAATACTGAGCCCTGTTCAACAGGTAATATATTCTTTCACTGTGACTCTTTGGCTTCTGTTGCTTAGGTACTCCCTCACCAACTAGAGCACCTTGCCTGTTTCTCCAGTTTGTGCAATAGTCTCATGTGAGGCAATGGATGAGTGTGTGTATACTCACCTAGATGCACTTGAAGGGTCGTGCCTCAGCTCCTAGTTCTCGCCACATGAAACACTAGCAGTTTAAACTAACAATTTAGTCTCAGTTATATAATAAGCTAATAAAAGAACAATTAGGTTACAAACTCACAGATCATCACCATTGTTAACTCGACGTGTGAGCCATAATCTAGTCTCTGATAATAATCAACATTGGTATCAATTAAATACACACATTCGCATATTAAAAACAAATCATTATCACTCAGTTAATGTGTCAATAAAATGAGTACCAATGGAATGGAATTATCAGGGGAACGCGGCAAGCCATTACGACTATATAGCACTGGAAAGGGATCAGGATAAAGATTTGGGATGGGACGGGGGGAAAGGAATGGTGCCCAACCACTTGGACGGTCGGGGATTGAACGCCGACCTGCATGAAGCGAGACCGGACGTTCACCGGCTTGAATATCCACCAGCTGGTGTATATTTTTGGGATTTGGGATATCCCAAGATAAGGGATTTGCACCCCTTATCGTAGGAACGTGCCTTGTTACATATCTTTTAAGTCTTTTCTAGTTTTGTTTGATGTTTCTTTAGATGGGGGGTTCCATGCCGGGGCAGCATACTCAAGCATGAGATCTTTAGATGGGGGGTTCCATGCCGGGGCAGCATACTCAAGCATGAGATCTTAGATGGGGGGTTCCATGCCGGGGCAGCATACTCAAGCATGAGATCTTTAGATGGGGGGTTCCATGCCGGGGCAGCATACTCAAGCATGAGATCTTTAGATGGGGGGTTCCATGCCGGGGCAGCATACTCAAGCATGAGATCTTTAGATGGGGGGTTCCATGCCGGGGCAGCATACTCGAGCATGAGATCTTTAGATGGGGGGTTCCATGCCGGGGCAGCATACTCGAGCATGAGATCTTTAGATGGGGGGTTCCATGCCGGGGCAGCATACTCGAGCATGAGATCTTTAGATGGGGGGTTCCATGCCGGGGCAGCATACTCGAGCATGAGATCTTTAGATGGGGGGTTCCATGCTGGGGCAGCATACTCAAGCATGAGATCTTTAGATGGGGGGTTCCATGCCGGGGCAGCATACTCGAGCATGAGATCTTTAGATGGGGGGTTCCATGCCGGGGCAGCATACTCGAGCATGAGATCTTTAGATGGGGGGTTCCATGCCGGGGCAGCATACTCGAGCATGAGATCTTTAGATGGGGGGTTCCATGCTGGGGCAGCATACTCAAGCATGAGATCTTTAGATGGGGGGTTCCATGCCGGGGCAGCATACTCGAGCATGAGATCTTTAGATGGGGGGTTCCATGCCGGGGCAGCATACTCAAGCATGAGATCTTTAGATGGGGGGTTCCATGCCGGGGCAGCATACTCAAGCATGAGATCTTTAGATGGGGGTTCCATGCCGGGGCAGCATACTCAAGCATGAGATCTTTAGATGGGGGGGTTCCATGCCGGGGCAGCATACTCAAGCATGAGATCTTTAGATGGGGGGTTCCATGCCGGGGCAGCATACTCAAGCATGAGATCTTTAGATGGGGGTTCCATGCCGGGGCAGCATACTCAAGCATGAGATCTTTAGATGGGGGTTCCATGCCGGGGCAGCATACTCAAGCATGAGATCTTTAGATGGGGGGTTCCATGCCGGGGCAGCATACTCAAGCATGAGATCTTTAGATGGGGGTTCCATGCCGGGGCAGCATACTCAAGCATGAGATCTTTAGATGGGGGTTCCATGCCGGGGCAGCATACTCAAGCATGAGATCTTTAGATGGGGGGTTCCATGCCGGGGCAGCATACTCAAGCATGAGATCTTTAGATGGGGGTTCCATGCCGGGGCAGCATACTCTAGCATGAGATCTTTAGATGGGGGTTCCATGCCGGGGCAGCATACTCAAGCATGAGATCTTTAGATGGGGGGGTTCCATGCCGGGGCAGCATACTCAAGCATGAGATCTTTAGATGGGGGGTTCCATGCCGGGGCAGCATACTCAAGCATGAGATCTTTAGATGGGGGGTTCCATGCCGGGGCAGCATACTCGAGCATGAGATCTTTAGATGGGGGTTCCATGCCGGGGCAGCATACTCAAGCATGAGATCTTTAGATGGGGGGTTCCATGCCGGGGCAGCATACTCGAGCATGAGATCTCATAGGCTGTATAAAGAGTTTGGACAAAACTCCTGCGTCCGTGTTTGTATGTTGTGTATGCTGTATGTGTGTGTGTGTGTACTCACCTAGTTGTACTCACCTAGTTCTGTTTGAGCTCTGGCTCTTTGGTCCCGCCTCTCAACCGTCAATCAACAGGTGTACAGATTCCTGAGCCTTATCGGGCTCTATCATATCTACACTTGAAACTGTGTATGGAGTCAGCCTCCACCACATCTCTTCCTAATGCATTCCATTTGTCAATCACTCTGACACTAAAACAGTTCTTTCTAATATCTCTGTGGCTCATTTGGGCACTCAGTTTCCACCTGTGTCCCCTTGTACGTGTTCCCCTTGTGTTAAATAGACTGTCTTTATCTACCCTATCAATTCCCTTCAGAATCTTGAATGTGGTGATCATGTCCCCCCTAACTCTTCTGTCTTCCAGCGAAGTGAGGTTTAATTCCCGTAGTCTCTCCTCGTAGTTCATACCTCTCAGCTCGGGTACTAGTCTGGTGGCAAACCTTTGAACCTTTTCCAGTTTAGTCTTATCCTTGACTAGATATGGACTCCATGCTGGGGCTGCATACTCCAGGATTGGCCTGACATATGTGGTATACAAAGATCTGAATGATTCTTTACACAAGTTTCTGAATGCCGTTCGTATGTTGGCCAGCCTGGCATATGCCGCTGATGTTATCCGCTTGATATGTGCTGCAGGAGACAGGTCTGGCGTGATATCAACCCCCAAGTCTTTTTCCTTCTCTGACTCCTGAAGAATTTCCTCTCCCAGATGATACCTTGTATCTGGCCTCCTGCTCCCTACACCTATCTTCATTACATTACATTTGGTTGGGTTAAACTCTAACAACCATTTGTTCGACCATTCCTTCAGCTTGTCTAGGTCTTCTTGAAGCCTCAAACAGTCCTCTTCTGTTTTAATCCTTCTCATAATTTTAGCATCGTCTGCAAACATTGAGAGAAATGAATCGATACCCTCCGGGAGATCATTTACATATATCAGAAACAAGATAGGACCGGATATCAGAAAACAGATAGGACCTGTTCCGTCCGAGGGCGGACGGAATCTTTTAGCGAGTTTCCAAGACTGTTATTAAGGAGCTCATGTGCCGTCTTGACTATATACTTTAGGAAAGTAACAAATCACTCAGACTCCACCTCACGCAAAATACCGTTTTACGACCCATCTTTGTGAGGTATATTTCTAGGTGCGTGTGCACGTGCGTGTGTGTGCACGTGCGCGTGTGTGCACGCTGGCTGATGTGAGCGAGATCCCGTAATACAATGCCCGTCGACTCTCGCTAATTTGTGCCACATCTGCACTTAATAAAAAATGTATAATGTTATTGGAGTCTTTCTCCCCTTCAAACTCATTTCCCGTAACTCGACAACTCTCTTGTGGTAATGAGGTACTTTCTCACATCTAGTATGCCTCGAGTAGGACCTCCAGTCTGTGATGGCCTCGAGTAGGACCTCCAGTCTGTGATGGCCTCGAGTAGGACCTCCAGTCTGTGATGGCCTCGAGTAGGACCTCCAGTCTGTGATGGCCTCGAGTAGGACCTCCAGTCTGTGATGGCCTCGAGTAGGACCTCCAGTCTGTGATGGCCTCGAGTAGGACCTCCAGTCTGTGATGGCCTCGAGTAGGACCTCCAGTCTGTGATGGCCTCGAGTAGGACCTCCAGTCTGTGATGGCCTCGAGTAGGACCTCCAGTCTGTGATGGCCTCGAGTAGGACCTCCAGTCTGTGATGGCCTCGAGTAGGACCTCCAGTCTGTGATGGCCTCGAGTAGGACCTCCAGTCTGTGATGGCCTCGAGTAGGACCTCCAGTCTGTGATGGCCTCGAGTAGGACCTCCAGTCTGTGATGGCCTCGAGTAGGACCTCCAGTCTGTGATGGCCTCGAGTAGGACCTCCAGTCTGTGATGGCCTCGAGTAGGACCTCCAGTCTGTGATGGCCTCGAGTAGGACCTCCAGTCTGTGATGGCCTCGAGTAGGACCTCCAGTCTGTGATGGCCTCGAGTAGGACCTCCAGTCTGTGATGGCCTCGAGTAGGACCTCCAGTCTGTGATGGCCTCGAGTAGGACCTCCAGTCTGTGATGGCCTCGAGTAGGACCTCCAGTCTGTGATGGCCTCGAGTAGGACCTCCAGTCTGTGATGGCCTCGAGTAGGACCTCCAGTCTGTGATGACCTCGAGTAGGACCTCCAGTCTGTGATGGCCTCGAGTAGGACCTCCAGTCTGTGATGGCCTCGAGTAGGACCTCCAGTCTGTGATGGCCTCGAGTAGGACCTCCAGTCTGTGATGGCCTCGAGTAGGACCTCCAGTCTGTGATGGCCTCGAGTAGGACCTCCAGTCTGTGATGGCCTCGAGTAGGACCTCCAGTCTGTGATGGCCTCGAGTAGGACCTCCAGTCTGTGATGCCCTCGAGTAGGACCTCCAGTCTGTGATGGCCTCGAGTAGGACCTCCAGTCTGTGATGCCCTCGAGTAGGACCTCCAGTCTGTGATGGCCTCGAGTAGGACCTCCAGTCTGTGATGGCCTCGAGTAGGACCTCCAGTCTGTGATGGCCTCGAGTAGGACCTCCAGTCTGTGATGGCCTCGAGTAGGACCTCCAGTCTGTGATGGCCTCGAGTAGGACCTCCAGTCTGTGATGGCCTCGAGTAGGACCTCCAGTCTGTGATGGCCTCGAGTAGGACCTCCAGTCTGTGATGGCCTCGAGTAGGACCTCCAGTCTGTGATGGCCTCGAGTAGGACCTCCAGTCTGTGATGGCCTCGAGTAGGACCTCCAGTCTGTGATGGCCTCGAGTAGGACCTCCAGTGCCTCGAGTAGGACCTCCAGCCTGTGATGGCCTCGAGTTCAACCATTGCTAATGCTGAACCGTCCTATATATGATCATTTTGTATATTTCTTGTTCACTCCTAGTGAAACCTCACTAGCAGAGACCTCACTAGTTCTAGAACTAGGCAGTATTAGTGTACCTGCTGCTAGTTGACAGTTTAGGGTGTAAAGTCAAGTACATTTGGCAGGCGAGGAGTCACAATAACGTGGCTGAAGTATGTTGACCAGACCACGCATTAGAAAGTGAAGGGACGACGACGTTTCGGGCCGTCCTGGACCCATTCTCAAGTCGATTGTGACCGAAACGTCGTCGTCTCTTCACTTTCTAGTGTGTGGTTTGGTCAACAAGTACATTTTCTTTTACTTTATTGTGTATATTTATACACACAGCTGAATTGGCTTTAGGTCTATACTAATTGGCTTTAGGTCTATACTAATTGGCTTTAGGTATATACTAATTGGCTTTAGGTATATACTAATTGGCTTTAGGTATATACTAATTGGCTTTAGGTATATACTAATTGGCTTTAGGTCTATACTAATTGGCTTTAGGTCTATACTAATCATTACTCCAAGATCCAAAACAATTCCGAATGACTATGGCCCTGATTGTTCTATATACTGTGTCCTGTATGATGTATAATTTATCCAGTGTTGCTCAGCCAGTGTATATGTTGTATGCCATACGCGAGGAAGATACGATTATACGATAGTGTGCTTCCTTAATCTTCTCTCAGCACGCGAGTATATCAGGTATGTCGTGTGGCCTTCAGTATACCATCTCATACTCAGGTCATACTCCTGTATCCTGAGACGAGGTTACGAGATCACAGTCACATATACCAATACCAAGAGTACCTATAAGAGTACCTATGGACCAGGAACGGACACCTGGAGTCTCCAGGCCGCCAGAAGGCGCCAAAAAGAGTCCTGGGGTGACAAGACCTGATAAAAACTGGACCAGCGCCCTGCCTGAATTCTCAAGAACTTCCTAAAAAGGAAGAGACAGAGATCTCATAGATAAACCTCAAAAGGAAATGTGTACAGTGAAAGCCGTCACCTTGATATAGGCAGAGGGACGGCATAGTGTTCCTTCTTGTAAGAACTCGCTTCGATGATATTAGAACTCTATGTTCTAATGTCATCGTGAGCGTCACAGGGGTATGGGTCTTTGTCTTCGTCAGAAACTGAGCTATACGTGGTCTGAGGTGGAGTCGAACCTGAGTATTGGAAGGTTTCTGATCTCTCAACGCATCTTGACCTCAGGCACGGCTCTTCCATGCACCCGCCGACCTCAAAGGCACATTCAGGAATTTTAACGTACTGGGTGTTCAGAATCGGCATTTCATATATCAATTCATACTAATATGTGTTAGAATTTTGTGTATAATCAGGCGTTGATT